GTTGTTTTAGAGGAAAATCATTAATAACTTTGATAATTAGATGAACGATAAATCCAGCAGCGAGGAGCATATCATATATTAAAAAGTTGAAATAATAAACCGAATAACATCACGTTTATAAGAGAAACAAATAGAGAGAAGAACATCAAACTTAGAGAGCAAAACCAAAAAAACTAATAGCAAAAGTAAATCACGTCTGTCACGTGTGTATTATATACATCAAAAAGCTAGGGTTTCGCTGATCCGATGATATCAAACTTAATAATATTTCCTATATCGATTCATAATAGATGATATCTGCCATTAATATTCGAACATATCAGAAACCAAGATATATGGGCTATACAAATGGGCCTAAATACAAACCGATTATAACCAAACCTAAATCAATTTAAAGAAAAATGATCAACTCGCACAGTGGTATTCTTGGCAAGAAAAATCGATGGCATTACATGTAATTAGGGCATTTTTTTAAAGGATACATTTGTAATCAACCACCCTCAAATCCATGGGAAGCCGCCACGTAGGATTTCGCACTTCATATATAATTATATAGATTAACCCTATAGATAAAACCTGAAACTATTTTCAAAAAAATTGATTGGATAAAGAGTAAACCGTCAAACCAAACCTTTTTTTTTTTAAATATCTAATAGAGTTTTACACTTAAGCATAGTTTTATTTTCAATTACCACAACCGTTTAATAGAGATTTTTTTTTTGTATACTTTAACCCAACATCTAGCAAAATTTACAGAAAATAAATAACACTTTTTTCTTTTATCAAATCGAGTTAAATAGAATGATTTTAATAAATTTGCATAGAGAGTAATATATTTTTGGGATAATTTTAAAAATACCATTTTTGGTGTGTTCATTTTCAAAAATACCACCATAGCTTATCCATTTAAAAAATACCACCAATTAAGGAGTTTTTACACCTTTAACCCTTAAGATTTTAAACCATCAAAATGTTTTACTCCTAACAAACCCTAAATCCCAAAACAAAATCCTAACATAAAATAGTTAACCCAAATCTAGATGATTTTTGAGCAAATGATATAAATTTAGTGCTATTTTAAAAGTGATATTTTTCAAAAATTATCTATATTTTTTGTTTCGAAAGTCTCTTTCCTCTCTCCAACAAAAATATAATATCTTGAGGGG